CCACTCAGCCTGTGATCTAGAGTTACAAAACCGGCACAAATTGGTTAAAGAAACTCAGATTTTTCAATGAGAATTCAGGATGTTGGTTCCAGCAGCGTATGAAGGGTGGCTGTAACTCTCTGTTCAGAGAGGACAGAGCTCAAGAGGTGAGGCTTTGTAGGAAGCATTTGTAAATAAAAAGGCTTATGGACAAAAATTAAGTTTGGATCTCTCTTTAATAGTTATTCTTCGGTAACTTCCCCCAAATCCCAAAGCAGCAGAAGTACTTGATCTCACACAGCACTTGGGGATTTCTTTTAGGCGAGGGTGGCAGTGTCCTCTGCTGATACCAGCCCAATGCTAGACCCGAGAGCAGCCGCTCTGCATCCCACCTGCCCTTAGCAGTGCTGTGGGACTCTTGTTCCTATTACTTGAGCAAACTCTTCCATAATTCTACTTTACTTTTTCTTCTTAGTGACCAGTAACTTCCCGTTTGTTTTCCTGATAAATACCAGAACTTCAGCTAAAAATGGAGAAGTCGTCTCAATTCTCTTATCTGGTAAAACCCTGTCAGTGGGGTGCTGTGGTCGAGTGCTGGCAGATCCCCCCAACAGTTAGAGACGTCCGCCTGCACCTACTTGCTGCTGTGCCCTTCGGCCAGCGCTTACTGCCCCTCGTGCAGGGACAGCGGGAACGGAGACTGCTTTACCAGCTTTTTGCATATGCTACACTGATTTACACTTCTACTTGTCTTCCCAGACCAGACACTCCAAGAAGCATGCTAAGAACTATACGGCTAAATTTTCTAACACAGGGTCCATTTTGATCTCTTGTTCTAGAGATGCTGACAAGGAATTTGATTTTCAATAATGTTTGAAGAAATCAGTCACACAAGTAAAGTGGGAAACTTGCCTTTTTTTGAGCGAGTGGTCTTCCCTCATCAATTTGTATAGTACTGAAGATTAAAAATAGCTCTTCAGCTGGGGTACAGCTGTGCAGTGTTGACTTAAATGGAGCCACATGGACTCACAACAAGCAAGCATCTGTATATAGCCCTTTACTATTGCAAACCACGTAACTCAACACTAACGGCAAGTAAATACCGGTGTGGCATTCACAGGAGCCGGCAGCAGGCTGGCTAACTACCGCTGCTGCTCCTCACAGGTGAGAAACACTACAGGACAGCGATTTGAGGACAGGTTGAAATTAGCTGCCTGCTACAAATCCCATCTCTGTCTCATCGGCACATGAACAATGTGTCTTCTCAATGGCACTAGTCTCTTCTTTCATGAGACATCCTCTATGACTTCTTTCATGTCTTTTCCTAGTGTTTTACTACTGGTTGTAGTAATTAGTTTGTTTTCTAGGTCATGAAACCATTCTCCCCCCTCTCCAATAAGCAGAAAACAAATATTACCAGTCAGTGAGCAGACATACTTCCACACGAAAAGTATCAAAAAGCCGGCTGTTGAAGGCTGACTTTACAGAATTGGGATACGTGAACATCACCGCTCTGAGCCTTCTCACTTTTTAAATTTTTTTTTAACGAACATAACCACATTTTTCCCTTGCGGCTCTGAATGTCTAGTCTAAACCCCTGGTTGGATGTATTCAGCACTAATATAACACACTGCGAAACCCATCAAACCCGAAGCAGATTCCCCCATGACATTAAATTTCCTACAGGGTGCCACTCGTGATCCACTAATATCAACACCAAAAATCTCCAGCGGGGCCAGGTTTTCCTCCCGTGGGGCTGAGTGCCAAGCTGTGCCTGAAACTTAGCATTTTTGGTCTAGAGCACGATGGACTTCACCTCCACCACCACCACCACCACTTCCTAGTTTTTGGTAGCAGCTTCTCCCTCTCTGGCCCCTGCCCCATACCCAGCTCCCCCCCAAGCTTCAGGGGTTCCCCGGCACCCCTCAGGCCCACAAAGCCCCAACCGGTGAGAAAAGCTGGAACCAAGTGGGGAAATGAGAGCAGCACAGCCTTCAGGTCACACTTAGGGGACAAAGAACTGCAACACACACCAAATGCTCTCCTGGGAGCCTCCTTGCACAACTGCCTCTTTAGACAGGCTGACGTGGTGGATTCAGGGTTCAAGTATCAGACGGAGGGAAAAGCACTATACATGCTATTAAACCACTAGCAGAGTATTTGCCTGCTGAAGTGAAGCTCCCTGCGCTTTCTAATGAATTCTCTGCATTTAGCATTAAGCTCTCTGTTTTTACAGAAAGTTACACTTGGGTAATTAATCTCATGTTTGTTTCCTGCACATGTAAGAGCAGCTTTTGTTAGGGAATGATAAGACACTTCTAAGAATAGTGCTACTAAGAGCATCAGCTTTGTAAGACATTACAGGAAAAATATAGACTCTACTCACCTGCTTTTCGCTTTGCAAAGTTTTGAAAATAACATTCTGCTTACCTAGACCCAAATTCTGACTTGTTTATACATATTAAACCTAATTGTTTTCATCAGGGAACAAGCACAAACAAAGGTATACTTTGGTTTTTAGGTTCCAGTCTCACAAAGATGTATTTGTTTAATTTTATAAAGACTGTAAATATTCCCAGTGGCTTCAGGGGGACTATCTGCAGTTCCCAGTCTCACAACGTGAATTCATCACTTTGTCGGGTCTCATAACTACAGATTCCACTGAAATTAATCGGATTTTCTTAGTGGTTGTAATAGACTGAGGATTAAGAATTTGTCTGCGTGTAAAACAAGAGACCCCCAGGTCGGACCTTACAAAGGCCGGATGCTGAACTCAGGAAAATGTAAACTGGGAGACAACCCCGTGAGAGCAACTGAGTCACGCCAGTGTGAGAGAGGTCCCAACGCGCAGCAGACGGGGCCGCATTCAGAGCCCCCTGGAAGCTGCAGCCCCGACCGCGGGCTTTGCCAGCTGAACACAAAGGGTGGTGTAAAGCTCGGGGATTTATGTATGTTGTCAGTTCAGAACCAGAGCCAACACCATTCTCCTGTAAGCGGTTGACACTTGACACCTACAGCAGTCAGTTTAAACAGTCATTGTTTTAAAGCTTGTGTTGTTTTTAAGCAGTCGTTGTGGTTCAGCCTGAGCTATCTGCCACCCCAGTGCGAGATGCACAAGCTACCATGCTGGTGAAACTATACAAAAAGTGGGGGAAAAACAGTTTACAGTGAGTAAGAGACAATTTCCATTTGGTCTGCAGCATCCCTTGTCTAACCAGTCATATGAAAAAGGACATTAATCTTTGCTGTACTTGGGAGCGGATTTCTTTCTGCTTTATTATGGACAAAGGAGTAGCTTATCCCCCTAACCAGAAAACAAAGCCTAATCTGCAGAGATCTGGCTAATCTGGTGGTTGATGTTTGAAGAATAACATGGACCCAATTTCCTTGGGTTTTGTAGTGCAAAATCCGAGCAGAGCAGACTGCAGCTAGACTTGTGAGCTGATCAGAGCCCCTGTTGTGACCATTATCTTGACTGTATAATGGGGGCTTTCAAATCCCAGCTTTATCATATTCTGTTTTTTCTACTTTGCCCTTTTATGAATATTGAGTCATCAAAATAGCTTCACTGACAGAGTTACTAATGATACCAGCTGGGTGAATCAGTGGCTCTTACATTGTCTAGTGCCTGCTATACAGGGCTATTAGTGCACTTGTTACAAAATATAGCAAAAATTAGATATCCACATTTTATTTGTGGCTCCCTTGAGACACATCATAGTGGTTGTTTTAAAATTAGAAAACGCTAACTGAACAAAGCAAATATTCAGCCAATTCAATGCAATACTGTGATCTCAAAGGAGAAACTGGCTTAGAATAAGTTAAAAGTAAATTCTAACATCAGTAAATTATCCTTTCTCCTAGTTTTTATTGCAAAGAAAAAATACACTGCCAAGTGATATCTACCACATTCTTCACAAGACAGTTATTCCTCACATTACTAGAAAAAGCTAACATCAGCAGTCCAGAAAAAAATGCTGATAAACAGAAGTGAATACGACAAATGATGTAAGCTATGCATATGGCTTGAGCGTGACAGAGACATTCTGTGGCATCCTTCTAGTACAGCGCAGTGCGCCGGGGTAAGTTACGCTCAAAGTGCATGACTCAAACGAGTATTACCGATTCCAAAAGTGTAGCAACAGTAACAACATGCCTGATGAAGAACCATCGCAAATGAGTGTGCAAAACGGCCCACGATGGGCTTACATTTTTAATGCTGTCCCAAGCAGTTTTCTAAGGGTCATTTATTTCCACCCGGAGTGCCTTCTTTGCAGCCCTGCAGTGATACAGTTTCCTATGTTTGCAACACATACCCCTTTTTCTTTTCTTTTTTTTTTTCAGAAGAACAGACAGGCACATAGAGGAGGAAAGAAGGGGCCCCCTTGGCACACGCTGCAGTCGCAGCCCTCCATGCACGCAGCCCTCTCTGCTTCCCACCAGCCCCCGTCACCTTCCAGCTATCGGGAACTTCACAGCCTGGCATCTGCTGGCACCCCGTTATCGCAGAGAGTAAAGCTTGCTGCCAGCAACTGCATCTGGCATATTAAATGCGTAAATAAAACTGTTGCAGAGGCTGCCTTTAGCAAGTGTCATAGAAATTACAGAGCATCTTAACAAAGCAGAGCCTCAGAATTTAAAGTATTAGGGGTTTGGGCTGGTTTTTTTTCAGGACGTTCTTGCCCTTCCCTGGAAAAGTGACATCTGAAATTCTGTTACGACAATTCTGTTACGGCAACATTAACTGAAACCGAAATGTGGTTTTTAACCTAAGACACGTTGCATAACAACCGAAGCATTATAATCTTACGAGCCGGGAAAGGTTAATTCCAAAGGGCACGAGAATATCGGCGAAAACTAAAATGCTCCGTAAGCGCACGGACTTGTAAATCTTTTTGGCTCGGTCCAAGGCGAAACGTTTCCAAGGAAGAGTGAGAGACCGAGCGCACGCCGAAATCCGTTTGGGGAGCGAAAAAAAATAAATATACATATGTATATATCAGCAGAGCCTCTGCACTTACGTATCTCTTGAGCTTCTTCTCGGGGGGCGATTTAATGAGCCATCCAGTGCAAACGACGTCCCCCGAGCTCATCTTCCCCCCCGGCGCAGAGCGGCGACGCGGCAGCCAGGGTGCGGGCTGCGCGCGGGTGCGTGCGGGTGCCGGGTGC